GGTTTGTATTAAAGTCAGTTTTATTATTTTAGAATCGACTGTATGTTTGTGGCTAAAGCAGTATCGAGCAAAAGCCTTCTGTTGTTCAAGGATTCATCGAAAGATGTCACCCTTCGGCCTTACTTTTACCTGTTCAACAAGTTTGTCGATGGATATCATAACGGGTAATTTATTCGTCAATAATTACGATTCACGAACAGCATGGTTTATTTCTCATGCTGATTATCATGTTGCACAGTCTACTGTTAGATGATTCAGGACAATCTGCTAACCCAAGAATCGTTCTTATCAGACTACATTGCCGTACGCCTGTCACATTTCAGTGCGATCTTACCACATGTACTGTTTATGCTTTTCGAAATTCAATGATTTACTACTCGTTTCTCGTCTAGTTGCGCCGAAACAACGTGGATCAATTCTTTGTTAAAGGGTATTAGTGGTTGAGCGAATTATACGCATATAAAAAACTTGCGAAACACTAAAAAATCGAAAAATGCTATATTTCGCGATTCTGCAACATTTTTTTTAGTCTTTTACTTATTTACTTCATGAATTTGCAGACACTTTTCTAAGACATATCCTTAAGATTTGTCAAATGTGTATCTAAGGCTGAAGCGGCTGCGTAGTGAAAAATTGTATGGCTTTAAAGATTTGAATCCCAGCACGGCGTAAATTGTCGATATTAAGGCTAGTTTCTTTGAAAAAGGAATCTTCCAGTCCACTGTTTGGTGCAACCCACCGAGAAACGGATAGCAAGTCGCTTAGTTGCGAACAAAGGGTGCATCCGGGGCGATCATGCCAGAGCTTGCCGGCTCACTGGCTTGCTTAGATTCACCTGATTGTTTACTAAATGAACATAAAGTATAATCGGTAATTAAAACGTTTCATATAGCCTTGTTCTTCTTGGTTAACTGATTTGAAAATGTTATCTGTTTTTCGGCCAAAGTACAATGGCCTTTGTTACCGGAGTATGGTTAAGACTGTTTTTTGGTTCTTTCGTCATTATTTAACTAATTTTCAGCAGCAAAGTTGTCCAACGCTATGAT